CAATAATGACTCCAAGATCCCTTTCTGCCTCCGTGCTCTCAAGAAGGGAGTTTCCCATTCTATAAGTGTGCTGCTGGTTTCCACTGCCCAAGTGCAGCACCCTGCACTTGTCAGTATTGAAACGCATCCTGTTTATGTCAGCCCACTCCTATAACCTATCCAGATCTTGCTGCAATCTTTCCCTCCCTACTAGCGTGCTCACCTCACCCCAATTTTGGTATCATCAGCAAATTTAAACAGGTTGCTTTTCACCCTGTTGTCCAAATCGCTGATGAAGAAATTGAACAGCGCAGGCCCAAGGACCGAGCCCTGGGGGACTCCACTGCCTACTTCCCCACCCCCCCCAGTCAAGGATCAGTAATATCCTTCGTGTTAAGTACATTTTGATGACAGTTGCAACATCCTTTTTGAAGTCACAGATTGCAAGACTAAGGGATTAGATATATCCTACATAGACAGAAGATCTCAAACTTGTCTGCCAGGTTTGTTGGGGGAGGTGGTACAGAAATGACTATGGGGAATTTGACATGATCTGCCATTTAGAATAGTTTCTGCTTTTCCAGCAATTTACACATACCATATATAAACTTATTGTCTTGGATTTTCTTGCTAGTTAAGAAAACAATTTCATTTTCTAACTTAAGGGAACTTATTACTTGAAACCCATACTTTTAGCTTCAGAGAGATGAATTTGCTAGCTAAAGCTTTCTCAGCTAAACCAATTAATTTATTCTAATTCTTTTTCAGCATATTTAATAATTTAATTACTGTAGTTCTTCATATTTAAGATTTGTTACTCTGTTTCTTCTCAAGATATGGGATGCTGTCGATACAGGCCGCTGTTTAAAAACTTATTCCTGTCACTCCTGTGCTGTTCGAGCTGCTCAATGGTCTTTATGTGGAAGAAGAATTCTCAGTGGAGGCTTTGATTTTATGCTTCACTTAACAGATGTTGAAACAGGTAAATGTCATTTATAAACATATTTGTAATGCTGTTTGCTAATATCCCCTAAGTCTTCATCGATAACTTTGGAGGAGATTTGTATTCTCCCATAAAGCATATAAGTGTTATCCCTCTCCCCCCCGGCCAAAATGATTAAACTATTCACAAATGTCGTTAATGTTATCCAGAATTACAATTCATAAATTGATCTGCTACTTCCCAATGGTGTGGAGAATGTATGACTCTTGGTTACCTCAGTGATGCACCATCAGAACATCTGTCTCCTTTTATATCATCATCAATTTAGATTTATATTTCATCCTATCCAAAAAGACTCAGGGTGGCTTACAGTAAGACAAGCAACCCACAATAGACTTCTCCAGTTACACCCTAAAACTTGAAAACTCCACTACACCACAGCTGCTCCTGCTTCCCTGTCCATCACCCACTGGAGCAAACCCTCCATACCATCCCAACCATGTTTCTCAACCCCTGTTCACATTTAGGTGTAGAAGACCTCTTCCTGCTGCTTTATGAAGGTAGGAGTCCATGTTTATTCAGTAACACATGTAAACTTATGCATAACTTTCAGGTTGACTTCAGTGAGATTTATATATGCAATTAAAGGAAGTACATGCTTAAATGTTTTGCTTAAAAAGACTTAAATAGGATTAAGTCATGTGTTTAAAGGTGATGAAACAAAAACGGCACTTCGCTGAATTGGTGTCCTAGAGATGTAAATGCCGCACTTGTAACAAAAGTAAAAATGTTGGGTGAAGTTTTCACAGAGTAATTTGTAGGGTTCTGGATTTGAGTGGACTTGG